CCCCAAAACCCCAAAACCCCAAAACCCCAAAACCCCGTTATAGTTGAGCAAGATTGAAAATTTCTTATTCGGTTTTAGGCTTGGGAGTAATCCAGTCGTGGCTTTTCCAGACAGGCATGAAGCCCCATCTTGATGCTCCTTCTACCATAACACCTGCGCTGATACCTCCGAGGATGCAGAAATAATTGTTTTGGAATCCGAAGTAGAGGAGACCAACTACTCCACAAGTCCAGTGATGGAAATGAATGTAGTGTGTCTTACGTAACAGGAAAGTTCGGAGGATTCCATAACCGAGCAACAGCGCTGTTAGGATATGATATTTTCCTTGCGATTTTGAGAAGGAATATACATGATACACATAGTATCCATTTAGTAATAAAACTGCAGCAAAAATGAATGTCATTAGCCACCCTATGCAATTGAATTTTCTCATTTTCTCCATTGTGAATCCCCATTGACTGAAAGGAGGAAAATCAAGATGAGTGTAATTTAGCCCAACTGTGAAGAAGACAACAAATAACATATTATGAAACACGACTTCATACTCTGTGTAGACATATCAACAGTTGGAGCTTACTGGGAATCCAACTACTGAGAAGGCAAATGCAAATTCCCTAATCAAGAATCTTAGAATCGAAGGCATGGGTGGCAAAACAGGAAACGGCTCAATACACCCGATATTGCCTTTACATCCAGGATACTTATTCTCCTCTGCAAGGTTTTCCCGAAAGATTTTTGAGAAGTTCAAGTCTCTTTGCATATCATGGGGTGCTCTTAACGAAATATGGGGAGTAAAGAAGTACAGAATGATTGAAGCTAGGATCAAAATGAAGAAATCCCGATATGTAGCATCTCTTCCTTTGAAAGGATTCTTCCTCTGATTGAGAAGGTTCACTAGATTTACAAAAGCAAATCCTGTGACTACCATTATTATCCAGAGTAGAAATTTCCCTGTATGGATTATGGTTGTGAAGTGATTGTCCCTAGCGAAAAATCTTCTGTACTCCAAACTTTCAGTGTCGTACTCAGGCATCTGCATGGTGTAATAGCAGATTGGAATGAACAATAAGATGTAAGTTATCGAACCTAGAAGGAAAATAATAGCTTCTTGAGGACTTCAGATCTTCTTCCGTTTAGTTATGCCTAAAATTAGCTTGAAATATACCATAAACAGGCTTTGAGCTCCCGGCCATTTCGTTGCTGGTCTAATATCTGTTTCAATAAATATTTAGATTTTAGGGGTTTTGGGGTTTTGGGGTTTTGGGGTTTTGGGG